ACTCTAAAGTAATTGAATTTCTTTTTTCCAGGGTTTCAGATAAGACATTTAGCCATCTTGGTAACATTTGTCGTAAGAATCCTTGAAAAGCACTAGGAAGCAAACAGGTTGAAATCGTTTTGATTCAGTTCAACTGTCTTCCCAAACGAGCAATTGTAAGACGAAATTTTTCATTCAGGCCTTCAGTAATGGCATCAACATTGATAATCTTTTTTCAGTCTCCAAAGTACATTAGAAAAACAACCAAGAAAACGATGACGGAGATGAAAAAAGAGCGATTATTAGAGAAGAAAAATGGATCAGGTGATCGCAAAAAGAAGAGGGATCATCATATCAATTAGAAAAGATCCAGCTCAATTCATAAAACATTTGACACTTGAAAGAATGGTTTCTCCTATGACAGTCTAAAAGCAATGAAAAAAAGTATTTGAAATAAAATCGTACGTGAAACGTGTGAGACATCTTGTTACACCAGGACAGAAAGCTAGAAGGTTACTGAAGGCGAATGAGCTTCCGATCGTTAGCTACGATTACTTAAGTATGAACATAACATTCTTTCCTTATGAGCAATTCCATCATGATTCTTCTGTTAAGCTTGGAGAGTAATTATACTTTCTCATTACTCAAAGAAGATCCCAACAGTGTTATAAAATTTCTAAGAATTCCAGTAAGATATATTTAATCATTTGTAAAATATAATGGTTCAAAGCTTAATCTAGCAAATGAACAGTTTTGTTTTAACAGCCGGTGAATATATATATATATATATATATATATATATATATATATATATATATATATATATATTACATGAATCATTCATACAAAAAAGTAGATGAGTAAAGTTAATGATGTAAATGGCGAAAACATCTTCGCAAACAAATTTATTAAAGTTACATTAACCTACGAACGACTCGATGTATGTTATGATACTTGTTTTTAAAAACAAGGATCATAACATTATATATTCTGTTCTTCGCTTGTGGGGGGGTGTCCAGAAGTCATTGAATTATATGAAATAATACTTTGAATATTTACAAGTATATATATATATATATATATATATATATATATATATATATGTGTGTGTGTGTGTGTGTGTGTGTGTGTGTGTGTGTGTGTGTGTCTGTGTGTGTCGAGAGAGGAAGATATACATTATACATTTTGTACAAGATTTCACCTTACAAAATGAGTTTTGATGGGTTAAATTTTTAGCTTATATCATTCAGACACATCATTAATTTGCTTTATTCTGATAGTTGTCGTATCAGAGATGAATTTTTGCAATTCATGAAAAATTCTTTGTGAACAATGGAACATGTTAAAAGTCCTTTCAGAAGTTTCGGTGAGTGATCACTCGTTGAGCATTATATAGATATATTAGTTAATGTATATATCAATCCAAGAACATAACTAAATAGAATTGACAGTATATATTTATACAACGTAGCATATGATAATAATTAGAATCATGCTCAAATCATGCACTGACAATAATTTTCAATAATTGTTTAAGTTAGTCGCAATGTTAAGCGAACTAAGATAAACTCAGTGTATTGAATTTTTTTCGATTCTGTAAAATTTAACAGGCAATGAGGCGCCCCAAGGGAGTGTAATGTTTAGCAAACTTATCTCGCTAAAACAATTACAAATAAGTAGTGAGTTCAACACACACTTGGTGCCTCATACGTTCAGCCTCGTGCCATATCTAAGCTACGCTTGGACAATCGCTTTAACAGTCAATGAAAAGTGGATATAACTACAAGTTGGTACGCATGAGATCGTAGAGCAAGTCAAAAGAAGACCATAAAATTATTTGTTGCTTAAACAATGACACTATATATATATATATATATATATATATATATATATATATATGTATATGTATATGTAAGCAAATGTAAATGGATATAGATCCGACAGAATGAAGAAAAATTTGGAAAAAACAAACAAAAAATTTAAATGCAATTATATTTGTTTTAAAAAATGAATGAAATGTCGACGTCTGACGTTTCGGTTTAATAAACCTTTTTCAAGACAATATTCATTAAAATACAATTCAGTTCAATTTGATAAAGACGATGGACATAAACAACAAGTCTTATCCAAAACAGATAACTGTATTGTATTTTAATGAATATTGTCTTGAAAAAGGTTTATTAAACCGAACCGTCAGACGTCGACATTTCATTCATTTTAAACAACATAATTGCATTTAAGGATTTTTGTTTGTTTTTTCCAAATTTTTCTTCATATATATATATATATATATTAAATAACGAAACGGCAGCATTATGATAAATTCCTTCTTTTTCAACCTACTGTAAGTTCCATGAGTACCTCAAGGCAGATGATTATTGAATCGATTTGTTTTCTATGGATGTAAGAATATATAGAATATATGCCCGTTGAATTGAAGCGGTGAAGATCGTGAAAACCCACCCCTCTCGAGACGGTTACACAATGCATCAGAATAACTTCGGTCTTATGAATGAAATACGATGAGAATGCCGATTTTTCGACCCTCTGTACATGGCATAGGATGTCTTAACTTTGAACTTATCTCAGCTGGTGGAACTATCAAATGTAGCTCATCAGAATATTTTCGGGGTCTAGTCACTGGATCTAATCAACGCCTTTATTCACTGGGCTATGTGTCCTCACGGATAAAAATTATTGCGTTCAATACCAGGCTACAGCATTGGTGAACCAAAATTTGGAGATTTGAGTTAAAGGGAAATCACTGAGACATCTGGAAGAGGCATGGCACGTAGAAGTAGAACAATCTACCCCGACTAGAACAATCTACCCCGGTGGACGAAATAAAGTGTTCTGTTCAGAATCCCCGTCACCTGAAGAACACTAGTTCGTAAAACAGCCGAAATGTTGTGAATATGTCAGTGAAGATGAGAATAACAGTCCTAATCACATAAATAATATAAATAATCTAATGATAATAATATAACAGACTCATTATACAACGTTCCTTTGGTAAACAGGCTGAAATTCTTCCAGATTTGCTTCGATGTTATCATTAATCTGTTTCATTTTTCAGATATTTTATTTTCGGATTTCTATGTTCTCTGCTCTTCATAATAATTATTTTAAGGCAAAATATTACTTGAAAAACTGCTAAAAGTCATCAAATACTTTGTCCGATAAAGTTAATATCGTTTTTTTTTTTTAAATGCCTTTTTAAGTTTATATGCATTCGTTTTTTTATTATTTGTGTACATATAAATATATTGGTGTACGTGGTTTTAGTCAAAGAGGAAAACGCGGACTGTCCGACAACGGGCAGGTCTTAGTTAGCGTGACTCGTTCACGCTGCTTAGCTCCCCCAACATGACAACTGCACATCCTTTTCCACCTTTGCAATCTTCCACAATCCAAAGAATGTTTGATGTGCACGCGGACAGCCGCAGAAGCGACCTCTCACCATGCCAAATGCAGATGATGGAGAAGCTCCTTCTTGTGAGGTTGAATTTCATGAACGCTTAAAATCGACGAATCTGTCCTAGCAGTTGTCATTCACTGACACTGAAGTAGACAGAACCGCTTAACAAAAAACTGCAATCTTGTATCATATCTGCTCTGTTTGTTGGTGGATACTCTGTGTAAAACTCATCGTAGATGATATCCCGGCAGGTATGGATAAATTACTAGCGCAGGTAATTCTCTAAATTGTTAGTGATGGAACATGCTTTTCGCTGTTCGGAGATTTATTGTTACTTGGCGTCCACAATGAAATACTGTTCTATTGCTGATGATTCATGATCACAGATACAATCTTTTTTCAGATATGCTCTGTTAAATCACCCCAAAGTAAAAAGAGTTTATATTTACTAAAATTCATAGTAAATTCTCGCATATGAAAAACGGGGACTGGCCGAAAGTGGGCACAGCTTAGCGTGACACATTCACGCTGCTTAGCACCCAACCCGACAATTGTATTCCACTCCTGTTGGGCTAACCGTTGTGAGCGCCCCAAATGTGAGCGGCGAGGGTGAGCTATTTTCGATACGAGGGCTCGGCAGGATAAAAAAAGACAAAACGGACGTTTTTCTTTTTTTATTTAAATTGTAACAAAATTATTTTAAATACCTCGAATATCATCCTCATGTTGGTTTTTGGTAATTTTCTATCCTGAGTGTTAAAGTTCATGCGAGACAAGCTAAACTAATTTTGTGTAAAATTAATAAATATCAAAAGAGAGCGAAAAATGTAATAACAAAAAAAAACTTTCACTTAAAATTCATAATTTCAAAAGAGTGCCAAAAATTTAATTAAAAAAGAAAACACAACTTTGAATTAAATTTTATAATTTCTTGGGCTGAATTAATATCTGCGATAAGTAACTTTACACTAGTTGGGGTGAATTAGCAGAAAAGATTCTTCTTTTCATAAATATTCTAGGAGAGCCAATTGAGTAGAATGTTCAAAAGATGGTCTTCTCTCTAGGGAATTGTTGTCATTGTTACTTGTTCGTATAAGTTCTCGATCAATGTTGACGCATTCTGATTGTGCACACCCCCGTGTTTTTTTTTGTTTGTTTCTGGCGAGGACAATTGATCCTATACGATTACAGCTTCGTTATTGGCAATGTGACTGCCAAACCTTCAGATAATGTTATACGCTGTTGTAAATAATAAAAGTTTCGAAGTGAAAATAAACTTCACGCTGGATAAAATTACAACTGAGCCAACTATTCTTTAAATTTAAAAAAAAAAAAATCGCATGTGTCAAAAACATTTACTGACACAACGGTACCATCAAGAGAATGTTTACTTACTACAATAAAATTTGACAGCTGATCTGAATACGTAGATAGTCTGGTCTAAAATATTTAAACTCTTATCTCCCTAAGGTCAAGTGGACCCAATTAGTTATCAGTTTATATTCCTTTCTTTTCTTTCTGTGTTTTTAATGATCTTTTTATAAATTGCTTCTTTTTCGTAAAAGCCAAACAATACAAATTCATCTCTACTCTTTCTGTTTTCATGTTCTATGTACCTTTCTATAAGTGTCAATACGGTGTATTTCTTACAGTCGTCTCTCTTTTTCTTTGTTCCTTTCTTATGAGCCGCATATCTACGATTCTTTTCATTCGTTATATTGTTGCTTTCATATATATTGACTTGCTTTACCTACTTATAGATTTGTTTGAAAGAAAATGAGTTTCTTCTTCGGGTTATACCCAGAGAATATAACCGAAATGTATTCTTAATTTTGTCTTTTTTACAAAAGATCTGATAAACGAAACTTGACTAATCTCTAAAATATGAGTTTAAAAAGGGCCAAAAACGTACGGGTAGTGCTGTATGGAGGATCAATCTACATTACTAGGAGTCGGGTATCGAAACCCTTGAAATGACTATAGCTACGTTTTTATTTTTTTGGGTCTTATCAAAATGTCATAGTGTTAAGGAAATAAACTTTTAGATATTTCTATTGGGTTGGCAGATAAAATAATTCGTTTTATTTTTTATGTTTAATCCTATAATTCATCAACAACTCTAACAAATCATTCAATGAAATAAAACAATAAACACAAGTTGTAGAGACAGAATAGAGCAACAAAAACAACCTTCATGAGCGTCACTCATTGCACCTTCTCGACCTAACGTTTTCCGCTGACATGAAGTGGAAAGATTATACTCAATAGCTGAGTTTGCTGCGAGGAAGCTTAGTCTACTGTGTCGTTATAGAAAATTATTCTCGCCCAAATCTATCTCACATAGAATTCTACCATTTTGGGTCACCTCGGCGTGGTGAAATGCTTTGCAAGCTTGTCTCGCTACATCACTTACGACTGAAAAGTGAGTTCGATCCTCACTAGATGCCCCATACTTTCGGCCATGTGCCACATCAAAGATTGATCTTCAAAAGTTTAAATTCAACATCCATCGTTATCGTATGTCTTCTGAATTTATGTCATTTTATTGTTCTGGCTCCTTAAAGATTTTTTTTTATCATATTCTTTTACCTTTGATAATACCCTGCGTGTTAACGCTTTCATTGACATGCATGGGGTGAAATGATTTTAAAGAAAAACACTACGGTAAACATACTTTTCTTGTTAATTTAAATTACATTGAAATTTTTGAAAGACGACTGGATGGAACATATACAAATGAAAAGTTCAGAAGATCAGCTGCAGAACCCATGCAAAGCTTACAGAGAACTGAGACTAATCTCTCTTAAACTCAAACAAAAACAGTTACAGTTTTCCGACCACTTCCACAGTGTGGACAGGGAAATCGTCTCATCCTTACTCCTAGAAGTGTCTTCTCACAAACATTGACTTTCCCAGACTCAGGGTTGGACATTGAGGATCTGGGAACAGCAATGTAGGACCGAACAGTGTGGAAAGGTACTGACAATGAAGTCGAAAGGTGATGGTAATGATATTGAAATAATTGAACAAATTTATCTGACAACTCAATTCACTTTTTGATCCACAACTCAATCAATAAAAAAAAATTATAAACAAAAATTGTAGAGTATAAGTAGAGCTAGTGAAACTAATTTGCCAGTTAATTCAAATAATATTTAAAAGCGGTTTTTAAATATATATATATATATATATATATATATATATATATATATATATATATATATATATATATATATATATATATGAAGAAAAATATCTGGAAAAACAAAACAAAATCCTTAAAATGCGATTATGTTGTTTTAATATGAATGAAATGACGACGTCTGACGTTTCGGTTTAATAACCTTCTTCAGGACAATATTCATTAAAATACAATTAACATAATCAGTATAAGTATTGGGCATCTAATGACAGTATAACAGTCGACATTTCATTCATATTAAAACAACATAATCGCATTTTAAGGATTTTTGTTTTGTTTTTCCAGATATTTTCTTCATTCTGTCGGATTTATATCCATTTATATTTGCTTATCATATATATATATATATATATATATATATATATATATATATATATATATATAGATATAGATAGATAGATAGATAGAGAGAGAGAGAGAGAGAGAGAGAGAGAGATAGATAGATAGATAGATAGATAGATAGATAAACCTAGTGAGCCAAACAAACCTACCCAGGTTTCACCTAAGCGGATCGTCAGGGAAAGCTGGCGATTTTTTTTTGACAGACTTTCATGTTTCTAGCTTTTTATTTTTTTTGGAAAACATTTTTCCCTCAGGATTGATTTGATTATTGGCAAATCAAAAATTGAGGCTTTTTTCGAAACAAGTATAGTTACGTATATACATATACATATATATATATATATATATATATATATATATATATATATATATATATATATATATATATATATATATATATATATATATATATAACGTTACTTCCACTATTTTTTGGCCATCTTTACGAAAATGTCATAATTTATTCATTCAGGAATCTGGCATCTTTCTCAAGGGTCTAGTGGTTTAAGAGGACTTTACAGGACTTCCGTAGAATTGCAGTTTTTTTCTATTAGGACGATTTTGTAGGGATCGAGATAAGTTGTAATCAGAAATTTCAAGTTCTGATGAGTACGGCGGGTGTCGTTGGACATCACAGCTACGCTGTACCAATTCATAACGTAGGAGACGTGAGATCTGACATTTTCTTACTGGAAAACGACACCCTTCTGATTAGCCAATTCCAAATATTTTGCAACAAATTGGGAGGTTTTTCCAACTCTAATTGGTCCAGTTTTGAAATTTGAGACAGGATATCGCACGCACAATGCTCACACGATGTATAGAATATCACAGTTTTGTCACTTTCTAACTACTCTGCTATCTTTATGTACACAGGTAAGTAAATGTTAGGTTGGTTGACAGATCCTTCATTAGGTTCGAAACGTAATGAATGGAAATCAGCAATTTTACACACGATATATTTATGTTCTAGCATAATATCAATTTCAGTTAAGTGAACATTCTGGAAATACATTATTATATAATGATTTCTGCTAATAATTACTGGATGATCTTTAATGTAATGGATACCGGAGAGTCGAATTCGAATTCAAGTCGAGTTCGTTACATTTTTCTATGCATATGAATCCATCTGTTCCCCACTTAACTATTGATAAATAGCATTAAATTCTGGTCCCAAGACCATTGTTTGCCGACTAGTCTAGGAAAAGCATGATTCTGAATTCAAACTGATTTGACCGCTAGACCATTGTTTCCAAAGTAACGTACACCACTATTACTACAGTTCCAGTAATTATGGTGCCCATACGATCTTAAAGGGTTACAGAACACCTGCTCATAAAAACGTATATGTCTAAACTTACTGATCAGTCCTTATAAACACCCACACGAAGAGACACACACATGTAGGCCGGTTCGTACAACAGCCGAAACGTTGTGAATATGGCAATGAAGATGCATGTATCTATATAGAGTGTGTCTCATTAGGATGGGACACAGCATGTATCTGCAATTACCAAATGACATAGAGTGCCATATATATATATCAAATACATAAGTGACATACAAGTTTTCAATATATTATCTAAGATCTGAATATTTCCTACAGGTATATGATGTCACCTTTGCTGACGGTGCACCCTCATAATCAGTGGTTGAAATGAGAAAACAATTTTGGGCATGTTCTGTCCGGGATAGTAACTATTTCAACGACGTAATGTTCAAATCTCATATAATATTTCGATTAAATTGTCTATAATTTATATAATAAATATATTTGGTAATCTTTTATAATTCAATATACTTGTATTTAAAATGTGTCCCATCATGTAACATTGAACAACTTCTAATTTGCACCAGAATAATATATTTAGCTCTAATGTTAAATGATGATCCCTCTGCCTTTTTTGATCTCCTGATGCAGTTTTCTGCTTAACAATTGTCTCTTATTTAAAAATATTCACTGGTCACTTGATGTTTCTTTTACGGACTTTGAAGATGGAAGCTAGGGTATAAATGTTGGTAAAATGACTGAAATCCTGAATTATCTTTTTCCTCTCACCATTGATCAGTGGGGAAGAGAGTGGAGATGACACAAAACGACTTAATCTATTTTATTTTTGAAAAATTTAGAAGGTTTTTTCAGTGATGCTTACGAAAAATGGTGCTACAATGGTTAAACGTCTTATCTGAAAACTCGGAAAAAAGAGAAACTCAATTAGTTTAGAGATTTTTTTAAAAATATTAAAGAGGTTAACAAAATAAACTATGAAAAAAATAAACTATGAAAACTCCGCAAATATACTTAAATGCCTGTAGTTGATAACAGAAGCCATTGGTTTATACCAAAGGTTTCCCATACTTAACGCTTCTCGTTTTCAATCTCGCGTGGTCATGTGTGATATCATGGGCTGCGGTGCGATTTTCAATTCCGGTGGCTCGTATGCAGGAGTTTCTCGTTGCTTGGAAATCTTCCATGCAAACAAACAGGCTACCAATGTTGCTAAGTCCGTGTATAGTTTAATTCATTGTAATATACCTGTCATCACTGATGATGGCTTATGTAAGACGAAAGCTTAGATAGGATTAAAACATGTATCAATATGATGATTTTCTTTCGGCTTTCAATGGTAATTTTATTAAGCTTATCAGACGATATGAAAGGAATTTGCGTAAAGTAAATAGACAAAACTTGTTTATGTTATTTAATGAAACAGTTTATGCATATTTTAGCAGCAACCTTTCTTTTAAACATATTTCGTTCAATATGAGAAGCAATTTAATTCTTTTTTGTTTAGTTTTTCCAGTGTTTTCACGTATCTTTTTTCCGTTTGGAGTACAGACATTTTCCATAATGCCGATTGTCACAAGCGGTTTCCGCCATTTTTATTACCATTTTCAAGTGGACATTGATTTAGATGTTTCTCTTCATGTTTTGACTGTTTATATATATATATATATATATATATATATATATATATATATATATATATATATTGCTTGTTCATTAGATATATGAAACTTTGTTTACATTACAAATTATACCAGAATATACTTTGCACTTTGCTTTTTTAGAGAGACCATATGATGGTTCAATCTGATAGATGACTCCCTGGCTGCAGTTCTCCCAACACTGGAACACGATGTGGGTCGAGCTGCACATGGTTTTCAATTGTGAGAATGCATAGTATTAATTGGAGTTATATAAAACCCCACTCCAGAGAGGAAATATGTAGTGAATCTCAGATATACCACATGCGAAAGTAAATTTAATTAAGACATGGGAAGCCACTTTTCAAAAAACATACTGGCTGACAATAACAAAAATAAGAAGTTGTATAAAATGTGATATTAAATATGAGAGACAAAACCTCATGCTTTCATTAAAATGTAATAGAATTTATCTTTAATCGGCACAATGACTTCATTACACATATAATTGGTTTATATTCAATGATGACTTATAATTTCAGACAAATAATGGTTCCTTTTGTTTTCTATGGTATGATTCACTTGAGCAAGAATATAATTATATTACGTTTCAAGAAAAAAAAAGTAAAATATCGCTGTGCCATTTTACAACTTGATCATAATCACTGTTTTCTTCACCCCGCACAGGAAATGCTGTAAAGCCCAGAAACATTAATAATCAGATGGAACAAGTGTAAGAGAGGAATATGGATGCGATATATCTACTATACTCACACACAAAAACTTCTTCATCTCCTTCATTTTCTTATGCGAGATTTTACGTTGACATTTAACACCGGATTTCAGATTGATAAATGAGTTTCGACTTTCTCACAAATATCGTTTGGTCCTTCCAGTTGACGAGAATCTCTGTCGGCTTCATTATAATTCATAAATTCAAGCAAGAAGAATCTTTTCATATCACGAAAACTACACCACATTAGATTCTCATTGTGTAACCATTTTTTGTGCAGACAGACGCACACACGTTTTCATGCGACGTAACCACGGTCTCTTTTCAAGAATATACTGATAAAATCCAAATTCCCATAACTAAGGTTTTTGGTTTTTTTTACAAAAATATATCTGTAAGGTATCTTATCCTTAATTACGAAGCGATGAAACTGATTAAATTGTGAATCAAACAGATCATGAAACCTTGCTTCTTTCATGAAGATTTATTATAATTTGCATAAATTGGATTAAACTTCTGCGCCATTCATCCAGCTGTCAGCATAGCAACATTATGATTAAACTATAAATGGGGATAGAAGCCAGTTGTTAAATATCAGGGTAGTATGTAGGAGTAACCTTCTTCGACTGAAACTGAGTAAATACTGAATGACATTTCTTCAGACACAAGAAATATTCCATAATTTAGTATTAAATTTTTGAGATAAGTAATTATACTATTCTCGCATTGTTTGAAATTACTGTTCTCATCTTAGTTGATATGGATGATATTATAGACATAACGTTTCGACTAAGTACGCTTTGGTCATCATCAGGTGCCTATTGTTTGGTTGAAATAGGATATATGTTGCTTATTTTGATATTTTGTCCCTCTGATGTCGGTTATGGTTCGTTCCTGCTGAATTCTTGCTTCACTATTTGATGTAATGACTTCAAGGCTCTGTAGTAGTTAATATATGGCTTGGTTATACAAGTGTTACTGTTAACTAATCGTCATTAAATCAATGTTGGGATCAGATAGTGAAGCATCAATTCATCAGGAATGAAAAATAACTGACATAACAGGGAGATAATATCACAGTAATCAACATATATCCACTGCCAGCTACTGAATTTACACCGGACGGTAGCCATACGTTACTTCTTTGAAACCTTTTAGCTCTAATAACAAATATATAAAATAAGATGTGAATAATTCGAAAAAATACAGAATTCCATATATTAAATATTCCTCATCAATTCCTAAAATTGAATCCGTAATGCAGTCCACAAACATGTCTCAACGAGACTCCTTTTTATACGTCAGAACACTTCAACAACTGCATGATTTTTAAAATAAAGATCTCAGAAATCTTGAATGCCTACACTCTAAGATTTATGAATATGGCCATTAGGAATTATTCTCTTTTCTGTATTCAAATTTATCGCATACATTGTTACCAGATGAGCCGTTGCCTAAACAAACATGTGTATTATTAGTTGTAGTAATAATATGATTATTTTCCTGATTCTCTCGTGATTATATCACACAATTCTATAATATATATTTTTTTTAATTTCTACCTCCTGTAAAAGCCTCATATATCTTTGTCAGCGAATATACATTACGTAATTTTGTTCTTACTTACAGTCATAACCATGGTTACTTCCTGCAGTTTGAAGTCCCTTGATGTGTCATCATGTTTTAAAATAATGATTTTTAAAGAAAACAAGTAAAACACACAAAGCAAGTGTTAAATATATGTGAAGCGAGAGACCATTTTCTATTACCTTCATCAATGTCTACGGTTCAAACATAATCTATACATTTTCTTTGTGAATTCAATTATAGAGTTTTCTTTAAAATATTTCGGAGAATTTACTACATTCTTTTATATATTCCTTTTTTCAGATGTTCTTTATTTCACATCTCAAATAAAGAACATCTGTTTATCCATTTCTTTGTATCTTTCTTTCTTTCAGTTTATCTGGTTTGTTTTCCATTATTTGTTTCAAATGTTCGTTTTCATTCAATCAGACTTTTCATCTGTGTCTATTTTTCTTTCTTTGACAGATTCTTTCTTCCTTTCAGTCGAACTTTTGATCTTTGTCTACTTCTTTGTTTTTGTTTTTTTTTGTTTCAAATATTATTTCTTTCAGATGTTCTTTCTTTTTTTTCTTTCTTTTTTTCTTTTAAATACTCTTTCTTTTAAATTTTCATTCAACAGACCGTTGATATTTTTTCCTTCCTTTCAGATGTTCTTTTTTCATTAAATTGAACTTTTCTTCCATTATTTCTTTCTATCAAATGTGCTTTCTTTCTTTCAGAAGTTCATTTTTCATTCAATCAAAAGTTTGATCTCTGTCTACTTTTTTTTCATTCTATCAATTATTATTTCTTTCATTCTTTTAATTATTCTTTTTCTTAGATATTCTTTCTTTTAAATGTTCCCTTTTTCATTCAATCGAATTTGATCACTTTCTTTCTTTCTTGCAGATATCGAGCTTCATTCTTTCTTTCAGATTTTCTTTTTGTCCTTCAGTCGAACATTTGGTCTGTATCTACTGCTTTCTTCTTTCGATTTTACCAGATGTTCTTTCTTTCAATGTTCTTTTGTGTCATTCTTTCTAGCTGACATCTAATCATTTTTTTCCAATTTTTCATTAAGGAATTCATTCAGAAGTTTTTTATTTGTTCTGTCATTATTCCCTTTTTTTTTCAGTTATTCTTTCGATCAATTTAATTTATTTATCTCAGTTTTTCATTCAATTCCTTTGTATTGTTTTCATTCGATCAATTTGTATTTCTTTGTTTCAACCGTTCTTTCCTTATTTATATTTTCTTTTTTCATACATATTAGTATTCCTTTTTTTTTCTTTCTTTCATATTTCTTTTGTATTAGCGATCGTACCTTTGGACTAGATCGACTACTGCGGAAGCAACCATCTTCCTGTGTTATGTAAACTCAGAGTGAAAATACCGCTATGGAAGAGAGCTAATACCTCACCAAAATTGCAATATGACGGACCCCCGATTAACACGAATGTGAAGAAGGAATATATGTAGAGCGTTAAAAGCAGACACAATTGAGAAAATGAAAATGGAAATGGGTCATATTAAGTAAAGCTTTCGTAACATCGGCAATCGATGTCATCCCAAAGATATTATACAAAGATCGAGCGACCGAATAAACAAAAAAAAATATTCTTCTTATATGGATCGTGTCTTTTCAGGGTGAAAATAGATCTCAACACATTCCTGTCCTTTTTAGATCTTCATAATTTTTTTCTTTTGTTATCTCACTTGCTCCACCATCCTTTTGTGATAGCTTAAACAAAGGAAAAAAATGGATATCAGAAAAAGAAAAATACTTCAGAAATGGAACGAATACATCAGAGAACACTTCCACGAGGAAAGTACACAACAGGCAATACACAAATATAACGAAGAATCAGAAATATGGACACTGGAAAATTAAACAGGAAAAAAAGCATCAGGACCATATGTAATTGTAATAAAGAGGCTCACAACATTCGATGATTTCTTGAAGCAATAGAACGACGAATTTCTAGTGAAAATGGAGAGAAAAGGAGACTTGTAATTAATAACACTGAGGGAGTTGAATTTACTAGGCCTTGGAAGAATTTATATTTAAAGGGAGGACGGGCAGAAAAGCATAACTACCTATCACAAAAGGATGGTTGAGCAAGACACGATCCATATAAGAAGAATATTTTTGTTTATTCGGTCGTGCCATCACTTTTCTGTTGACTAGGTAATTAGTCTGAATTAACTTGTCTAATCTAGCGTATAATTATAATAGTTTTAAATCTATCTATCTATCTATCGCTTTCTTTTATATATATATATATATATATATATATATATATATATATATCTGTTGTTTCATTCTGCATATATATCTGTTTCATTCATATCTATTTCTTTCGTTACTTCTAGCTAGCTATCTATTTGTTCCTTCCTTCCTTTATATTTATCTATATTTATTTCTATCTATCTAGGTATCTATCTGTTTCTGTCTTTCATTCTATCTATCTATCTTTCTATTTCTCTATCTATCTATCTATCTATCTATCTATCTATCGCTTTCATTTTTTCTTTCTATCTGTATATACATATATATATATATATATATGTATATGTATATATATATATATATGTGTGTGTTTCATTTTATCTATCTATCTGTTGCGTTTGTTCATTCTAGCTATCTAGCTATCCCTCTGTTTCTTCCTTCTTTTCTATTTATCTAGATTTCTTTCAACATATCTATCTAGAGAGAGAGCTAGCTAGTTAGCTACCTATCTAGCTATATATCTGTTTCCTTCTTTCTTTCATTCTATCTATCTATCTATCTATCTATCTATCTATCTATCTATCTGTCTGTCTGTCTCTGACTTCTCTGTTTATTTCTCACTCTATGTCCCTCTCTATTTGTCGTGAGTCAGAGAATGAGAAAATGAATAAAAACTAGACACGTTCCGAGAATGAACTCCTTCAGATTACTGACTGTTTTATTAATGGGAACAATCTTACATATAAAAGGGCGGGTGAAATTTGTTGAAGGAGATAAATGCAGCTAACACCGGTCACCGTTTAGATTCGAACAAAATCTGAAATGTTCACCGTTCAATAGAAATTCTAAGAATCAAGCATAGAATGAGTTCAGCAAGGGTTCGAGAATAAAGCGATGGAGGATAAACCATATGATTGATTAAATGACAACAAATGGAGCCAGCTTTAATACATAAAGGAAACTATGTATGGCAGATAAAGAAAAAAAGCTGTAGAAGAAGTCCGATCAAAAGATTTAGAGAGGAGATAGAAAGATTAATAAGTAATTCACAATAAAGTTTAACGCGGATCAGTTTTCAAGAGATGAATTGGGAAGGACTTTAATTCCAACGGGGTATTCACATTTTTGGAGGATATTACTGATAAGAAAGTTTTCCTTATATTCTGATATTTGTATAAATACACATCACGTATGTTAAAAGAACACACTGAATTCTTTTCAATGCGAATCATACTCGCCAGAAGCAATGTTTTCTTTGAAAAATCAACCGAAATTGAAATCGCTTTTAGATCTGCAGACGGAAACACTAGCTTCTTCGTGTTATGGAGTAGTTTCACAGTGGAGGCTTGTATTTGTACTAAGTCGGTCCTAAAATAGGTTCGACGTACAAAACTTTAGGAACTTGATATAATAAGTAATGACGCAGATTAATCTAGTTGCGGTCGCTGATACTTTAGTATCCGACTAACGGTCGTCCGGCATCTGACCGACCCAACTAAGCGACTCCCCCCTCGTTACTCTTACTACTCCTACTTATTATAGGTGGGAGAGTCTATTAACTATAGAATAGGTGTGTTCCACAATAACGCTTCGACATCAAAGCAAGGGCCCTTCATGGTGACAAATTCGTGCCTCTTCTCTTTGTTATCTAGAACGTCACTAGACAAAGATCCTCATCTAGTGTTTACTTTATCTCCTAGTCGCTAAAAGTCGATATCCTGCAAAATGCTGACCTATATTCACTAGGCAGATAATCTAGATATCACTGAAGACACCATTACCAATGCCACACTTCTTCTACATCATCTTCAAAGTACTGCTAAAGACGCAGGATTCTGTGTCAATGCCTCTAAGACTGATATCTCTGAGGACCAAATACAAGAAACTAGGTCAGTGCCTTTTAAAATGGAACTACATGGATGCCAGCTAAAAACATTTCAAATACAAGGTGAGCAATTTAAGACAAGAGGGGAATATGAGAAGACGTCCAGTTATATGTATGAATCATAAATAAAATGGTAAAGCTTTACGAGATGACAATTCAGATTGGACGAAGAAATGAAGAAATCCGAGATCGCAACGCAAGAAATATGATCTGGGTCTCTAAGGACTGCCGTTTTAGCTAATGGTCTTCAAGTATCGCTTACTAAAATATTCAAGGACAGACATTTGTCAAAACGGAATTTTGCACAAGTTCAGCATACACTTACAAAGCAAAAATGCACCAGCGTGATCCATTTCCCAATATGTGACTAAATGTCAAATAATTCTTTCTTTTGTTGTAAGCTTATCTTAGCTGAAGCGAGAACATTACCGCAGTCAGTTGGAAAACTAATATAATTTTATTTGTCAGTGAATAACGACGTGCAAATATTTATAGCGCCAAGCACAATATATTTTGAAAACATTAAATGCATACTAAGTTTTACATTATGCACAAATGTATATTTCATTTTAAATTTTATGATCAAAGGCAATCTATTATTTACATATTTCACATCTGAAAAATATCTAGAATGAATAATGCTGTAGAAGGAACTAATGCAGTGTCCACAAATTTATTGAAATGATGATAGTTTTTCCCAGAATTGTGCTTGGTATAACAGATTATTTTAACGTTTCTGTAACTGATTTTTTTTATGTAATGTTGACAGTAAACAGCTCCACGACATGTGTAATCAAATAAATACGAGCATATGCAAAAAGTTACGATGGAAAAGTGATGTTTTTGCGTTGCGTTAATGGTATCGGTTTTCTGTGTTTATATGTATATTATTACCTCATTTTAAAACTGTGTATCACCACTTGAGACTCTTGTTTCGGTACTTTTATTAACAAACGTATTTTCATCTTATGTTCAATGAAGTCAAACCCTACGGGTTTATTTAGCGGCCGTTTTGAAGAGCTGTAAAAGCAAGCTGCAAGAAGAACAAATCATTCTGGTCAGAGTAAGCTTTATAACGGAACAGGTATCGTCTATTTCATCTATGCCATAATGGTATGAACGTTGGCACCAATTCCCGTCTTTTGACACGTTTGTCCCCTTTTTCAACCCCCATTCTCTTTTTTAACTGTTGTTTTGCTATCCATTTACTCAAGTTACTTAAGTGGGTTACTCTTTGTTCCCCTCTGCTTTACTCGCCCTGCGAGTGTTAAATTCATGCAATATTCTTTCCACCTTATTTGTCTTTCTGTTCTGCTCTATATTGACGTTAATTGACGTTTCTTCTGTCTTTATTACCAGCCATACGACGTACAAATGCCAAATATGTCAAAATATTTCTCCATTCTGTATCTTTAAACTTTCCAAGTCGCTTCCTTGTTTTATATGTTCCTTTTATTTGTTTTAACGTTTGTAAAAATTTTGTTTAAATCGTATTTTCAGAATCATCGTTAGAACTATGCAGTCTGCACCTTAATAGTGAAGATATTGTCCAACATCCACTTCCTGTTAAGAGGTTCATACTGTATACAAATACAGTGTTATTTTCGATATCTATAAGGATATTATTTTCTTATCTCAATAATTTGTTTAACATCATCTATTGTTATATGTCTATGAGACTTCAAATTCCTCTATCGTAATCTCCGATGTCTGTTATAACACTATTCAGATGATTTAATTTCTGTAACATCTCAATAAGTAACTCACAATTTTGATTCCATTCTTTGGTAATAACGATGCATATTCGTATAGTTAATAGTTAATCCAATCTAATTACTTTCTCTCCTACATTCCAGATAATTATTCTATCTTTTGAAAGAGTTCAAAAGTATACCGTGTCCGTGTGGATGATTTCGACTCTAGAACGAAACGTTGTCAGCCTCTTGCTGCTCTATCGTTATTTCCATGGAAAGTGTTCAGAGGAAATACATCCTTAGTAGCACCAGTTTTAATTTTCACTCGTAAGACAAATCGCATTCCACGCATATTGTTATGAAAAATTGTTTTTCTTTGGTTCCGCTTGAATATGCTTACGGTCACATCGAGTTTACATCCCGAAGTAAAACAACATCGAATCTGGTCACTAGCTAGATGCGTGACCCGCTTGAGAATAACAGATGCTGTGAGCATGGATGTGCAGGTGATGTATTTGATAATGGCTCGGAATTGTTAATTAGAGAGGCGAATTCCAATTTAAAATTATGGATGCAAAAAATGAAGACTACGATACGTATCATTTTGACATTTATTATTATAATTTTCATTTCTGAAGCCACATCCAGTGTCTTTTCCTTTGATGGAAACATTCCTGGAACTGTTTTCTAATAGTGGGATTAAACCAAATGGGCCTTGGAGACGTGTAAGGGAAGAGAGTGGTTGTTAACTATAACTCAACAAGCACCATGTGAATTACAATAATATTAGAGTGCCAATATAATATAATACTAGAATAAGTTATAAATCTTACTATAAGAAAAGCTAAATATTTTAGAAGACTATTATGTCCATCTTAAGCTACGGTCCATGAACAAAAATAACTTGCTCGAAACGCCTCATTCTTCAAGTCATATTTTAAAAAGACCATAGCAAAGTCGTTATTTTTCTATTCTTAACAGAATATTGCACGTTATGTCAAAAAACTTCCCCCCCCATAGCTGCAATCGAATTGTTTTCAAAAATTAGGCAAAAAAGTAATGTTACAACATACTTCTCAAAACATATTTATTCTTTTCAAACCCTCTCCATGAAATAACTCATGAGTGTCGAAAGTTTAGACGTTACAATATAACAATACTCATGTAGACTAATTTTTTAGAACAAATCAACTACATTAACGAAAGGATATTCGTACATTCGAAAAAAAGATCATTAAAGAGAAAATACTTGAAATGCTTATTTCGAAAATACAGGTTTAACAGGACAATTACTACTCGTTATTACTGAGAATTTATTTGTTTAGGATAACCAGAATCGTTGTTCGCCTTGAGATCTAGAAACATTTCTCTACACTCAAGTTACCGAAAAACAACTTTCACACCTTCATTATCAATTGGTGTTTCTATAAAAGTAAGTCAGTCAGTCTTCTGCATACCAGTAAAACAAATGCAGATCAGGACTTTGCTAATCTGAGATGTATCATATCCAGAGACGACAAGCAATATAGACGTTGATAAGGGAATGGCAAAAACAGACGCTTGGAAGATTCACACTTTAACAATACAATTTAAAGAATGGAACCAAAATATTTGTGTTTAAACTGCCGTTGGCTAACTACTCCTCCTCGAACTCTTCAGTCTTTGTTTATTCCATACCACCCTTAAAGATTCCTGGAGAAATTTCTTTATAAACACCGAGGTTTTCAAAAGTACCTGCATTTTCAGAATTGAAGCATTGATGAAAGAACACGCTGTGCTGGCCATTTAGCAAGAATTGCAGTTGATCGTCTCCAGATGATCCTATTGTTCGGCGAGCTGGTTTCTATTCAAATAATTGAATTACGTCATGAGAGAGATATGCAGTCTTTAAAAAAAAGAACCAGGATTTATACAATACTGACAACGGTAAATAAGCAGTGGAAGTTGTAGTAGCTCCATAGAAATTTCCTGGTATCAGCCCTATTGAAATCCATACAGTGGAGAGAAGTTAATACGCAAAAATATATACACTTCTATCAATTCTGTTCCTACATCGACTGTAAAACAAAAACCTGTCTCACGTAGTTGTTGCAAATTAC